TTTCCTCATTCTTGTCTATTTGCTACCTGGAAGCCAATGGTGTTTTCAGTCCCATATTTTATGCATACCACACTCGAGCCTACATCATCATTTTGAAGATGATAAAGCTGCAATGATCAACTCATCCTCAAAATTAGCCACATACAATCACATTCAAGTGTGCCACTCTTTGAATTTGTGATGTGTTTAAGAAATTTAAGTCATGGATATTGCAGGACCTACCTCTCTAAACTACATAGTTGGGTATTTACATTGTACTGAACCTCGGGCTAGTAGTTTTTTATTACCATCTTTGAATGATTTTGATCGTAAATTATGACTGCCAGCAAAACGCACACGACAACTGACACTTTTCATGACGCCGTCTATAGTTTGAAGTGGACAGCAGCAGCGGCTGCTCCTTGCCTTTGTTTAGAAAAATCAGGGCATACAAGGTCTTTGATTTTATCCAAAACCGGAAGACCGTGAAATTGAAGAAGAGAGCAAAGAAAGTGACTCTCAGCCGAGGGAAAATGGTTGAGAGAAATAGTATCCAAAATCTCCCGAAGTGATGGGGTCATTTCGCTCTTCACCTACTACATTGATTTGGCCGGTAGGCATTTGAACTAGCGCTGGTATTGGCAATTCTAGGCGTTTTTTTTTGGTTCTTTCCACGTGAGTATGCCCATCACGGACATATGAGGAGAGATTGTTGCTTCATGCCATTGCAAAGGTCATGCTTAGCTGGTGGTGTGGCTCAGTTCCTCCAAAAAACTACAGTTGGCATGATTGCGAGGGGAGTATTTGTCTATAATGTTTGAAACACTACAAAGCACATATATATCAAGTCATCTCACCCATCTTAGGGTCTTTTTTTTTGTCTGGACTATTCCCAGGTTGGCTGTTGAGCCGTATAAGATTTTCTTTGGACACGAGTATGATGGTAGTAGTAGAGACTCCTTTCATGTTAGACTAAGCTTGTTGCTGACGAGCTTTTGAGACAACTTTGGCCAAGCCTGACTTTTATACCGGAAGCCTGATCAACTAGTAAGCCAAATTTTTGAGACATGCCAACGTTTAGATCTAAATGAACATAACTAAAGACTTTGCAGATCTCCGGATTAAGCCAAGACATGTCTCTTCTCGATATGCAGCTTCCTTTTGCCTGTGGCATGACTCTTCAGAGTGCAATATCTCTTTCCCTCCACCGTTAACATATCACCAACTGCTAATTACCGACTAGACTTCTTGTCTTGTTTTGCCCCAGGGGCCTCAACCGCTACGGGATCAGGCTACTTGTCTGTCATACTTCCCTTCTGTATCATTGCAGTATGGACTATCCAGGATTTCTACTTGCATGGTTCACGACAAATCAGACTTCTCTTCACACCCAATTTATAAACCACAGAGGGTCTCACTACAGTGGTGCATGTAATTGGTAATATCGATTTGCAGAACAAAACACCGAGCTTCTCAACCCGTTCCCAACGAGAAGCCCCATTCTAAATTTCCCATATCTAAAATTCACTTAATTCTTCCAGGCTCTGTCCGTGAAGATAGTCCCTTACGTTTCCTTTGAAAAACCATATCAGCAATTGATGATTCGGAGATTAGATCTGCTCTGAAGGGCGTCGAACTTTGGAATCAGATTGGCAACCATGGTGGCCTTACGTGCGAATTCTGATTCGATCCGTCTATTAAACGACGGAAAGCAGATCTTCCATATTGCCTGTGCTCTTCTATAACCTAGTGAAGTTGTTATCATGGATGAGTCTATGGATGGGTTTGGTGAACACACAGCCACATGATGTCTTCGTATGCGGCTGAAAGGTCAGACTATCATCTCGATAACCCAGGAAGTGGCATCAACAGCCATGTCGGAGCGACTGCTGGAACACCTGCACCGCAGACCAACAGACTCGATACAAAACGGACTCAGAACATGGGCACATCAAGCACTTCGACAGTACATGCGGTAGAGCTCAGAGGATTAGTCCTGGCACTGCAGATAATTCTCGACACGCCGCCGACGTCTGTACCGCCGAATAAACGCGCCGTTATATTCACCGACAACCAGGCTGCATCCAAGCCATCCGAAACCCCAAGCATTCGTCCGGCCAGTACAAGTTGGTCGAAGCGGTACAAGCGCTTGACGAGGCCCAAAGCCAAGGATGGCAGGTGCGATTTCGATGGATCCAGGGACACGTCGGAGTGCACGGTAACGATGCGGTGGATCAAACTGCGAAAGATGCTGCTAAGGTTGATTTGAACGCAAGAGCGAACGCCAAACTGCCACCAGAACCAGACTCCCTGCAAACACTCACAGCAACCGCCAAGTCTACCATTCACCGAGCGATGAGAAACGAGTGAGACCTGGCTTGGGAGAAATGCAAACATGACAGAGAGCTCTTTAGGCTTTGAATGCGACCGGGAAAAGCGATATTCGATACACAATAGAGTAATTAGCTCGGCAATCACACAGATGCGTACAGGCAAATGTCAGTGTGGCCATGGGCAGGCAAGCCTCAATGCATTGACATCAAGCACGTTCTCTGTAGCCCACCAATGGCAGTACAGACAGCTAAGGTGATCCCAGGGACAGAACTACTAGGGCAATTCCGGGCAGTGCCGTCCACGGTACTCACATACACATAGCGAAGACGCAGACGAGTGATTTGATTTTTGGTATATCTAAGTAGAGCGGGGCCAGGAAAGGCCCGACAGGCACATAGAAACAGAACGATCACTAAGATCACGAGGGGGGAGGTAACTTACTGGATCGGACGGAGAAGTCATTCGTGCCAGCAACGACACCTGTACCTATAGTCACACGCTGCATAGCTGCCAATAATTCGGCGGCTGGGACTGTCTACGAATAGATCAATCAATCAATCAATCTGCTTCGGAATCCTTGGACCGACTGAATTGACTCTAGGAATGTGTCAGTCAGCCCTGGGAGCCTTATTCTCCTAGAGCGCTATACCTAGAGGCAGCTGTACGCTCCCCCGGGATCGAGTGGAGTGTCTGCCAGGTCAGTCCCTTCATACATACAGAGCAATTGCCATGAGGCGTAGAAAGTTGGGAGATGGTATCCAGGCAAAGTACTATCCGGGTTTCATTTTCCTGCTTAGTCCATCTCCGAAGCATGTTGGGATATCGCACGTAGTGTAGTAAGCGACAGCGATGACGCTCAATGTTTTGATGGTACTGCTGCTAATCGGTGGTGGCGCTCGCTGGAGGTACAAAATGTCAAATCCAAAAGAAACACACGCCCTCAAGAATGAAAGGACATGAATTTGATGACCGTCAGCCCATAAAGCCTGTTCCGGAAATGACCGATTCAGAGAAAGTTGTGGTAGGAAGAGCTTTTTTTGATGGAAGAGATTGTCTTGCTTGCCATCTTGACTAAATTTTTTTGCGATGATGCTCGATTCTACCTGTCCACGAATTATCATCAAGCATCAAGATGGGATGGAGCGATAAAATTATGACTCTAACGTTGTACAACATGGTTGAAATGTTTTGAGAATCAACACTTTTGTGGGGAACATTTCACGGAAAAACACCTCTACCGGGAGCCTTGATCAGCTGACCTCATTCTCCTGGATGAATTCCGTCGAGCCCAGTCACAACAAACTACTATTATCCCCTTTCCAACCGCCATGGCCGACCACAACTCCCCAGACTACAAATTTCTTTATCTTCAGACGGAAGAGAGACGGAGGCAGGCTGAAGAGGAAGGCCGACAGGAGAAAGAGAGACGAGAGCGAGCTGAAGAGGAAGGCCGGCAGGAGAAAGAGAGACGAGAGCGAGCTGAAGAGGAAGGCCGGCAGGAGAAAGAGAGACGAGAGCGAGCTGAAGAGCGAACTCAGCCAACCACTTTCGTGGATTTCTTGCGACTTTCCCACAACTTGCTCTCCCGACCCTTGAGGGTCGAGACACCATCTCGCTCGACTAGAGGGAAAGTCCCCTTGCCCACTGGCAAATACTGCCCGACACGATTAGAGCATTGGACGGACTGTTCAGAACAACAGTCGGTTCTCTATAGGACCGTCTGTAGCTTCCTACAGTTGGTACCGGGGGGGGCGCCGCGTCTATTCTCTTCTTTGCAAGAGCTAGAAGGGTTAGCTCAACAATTTAGCTACACACCTATAAGCAGCGAGCAAGAACTGGAGGCTTATGAGAGACTCGCAGTGGAGAAACACGTCTACCATATTATAGCGGAGCTATGCAAAATACCTGCTGCTTGTGAAGAGTTCGGCCTTGGCCATGGCATTCGGCTCAGCAACCACACCAACTCCTTGACCGAGAATACAGCTATTGAGACGGATACGAGCCAACCTTCAAGCACATACCACCCAAGACCCGATCAAATCTATATCCATCGTGCCGATGGTATCACCGAAACTATCCTTACGACAGTCGAATATAAGCCACCGCATAAGCTTCCGGTTGCAGCCCTTCGAACCGGACTTCGGCCAATGAATTTATGGAATGATTTAGTCCGGTCGAATAAGATACCCACAAACCAGGAAGCAAAATTGAGGTACAATGCAGCTCGACTTAGTTGCTCTGCTCTTGTCCAGGAGTATCATGTGATGATCCAAGAAGGGCTTGAATTTTCCTACGTGACTAACGGGATCGCTCGGGTTCTCCTCCGTGTTCCCTATGATAATCCTAGCACGCTTGAATACTTTTTATGTGATCCTAATAGCGAGATAATTTCCGAAGACGGAGATTTTTTCCAGCAACCGCGAACTTCCGTTGCACGGACTCTATGCCTATGTTTGATGGCTTTCCGTTCGCCTATTCGCGACCAGGAATGGAGGAATTCCGTGCGACCTCGTCTTCGTACTTGGGAGACTAGTTTTAACCACGCTCGTTCTCAACTTTCCAATACAGAATTAGAGCAGATTGCTATACATTCCGACAGTACAACTATGGATTTCCCGAGTCCAGAATCTGGCTCATCTTACGCGCTACCGTCATCTTCACCGGATTCGCCCACAACGGACGGCCGTCGAGTGCCCACTAGATCCTATGCTACCTGTGCACCTCCTAATGAGCAACACCGCTCCCAGTCGCCGGAGCTATCTGACTCCGATCCGAACCACGCAACGGGAAGGAAGCGCGGATTCAGTCAAGTCATGTCCTCACCGTCTGCCCGACAAGCTACAGGTCGTTCCGAATCCAGTCAATATCAGTGCAATCAGTCACAGCGCCACAATGCGCAGTTTTGCACACAGCAGTGCTTGCTTGGGCTGCAGACTGGAGGCATTCTGGATGACCGTTGCCCAAATGTAACACTCCATCGTCAAGGCGGAGATACCTTCAAGCATCTTATCAAATCAGAGGATCTGGTGAACCTGATAAAAGCAGAATTAGACGAAAACATTGACCGATGTATACCCTTTGGAAGGCGCGGATCATACGGTGCTCCCTTTAAATTGACCTGTGCCGCATATGGCTATACTGTTATCGGGAAAGGAACCACGTCTGGATTGTGGAAAGAGGTCTCCGGGGAAGCGCAGGTATATCATATCCTACGGAAAGTTCAAGGGTCGGCCGTCCCCGTTTTTTTAGGCACAGTCGACTTGGCGAAAATTTACTTTCTTCATAGAGCCGGGGAAATCCGTCACATGCTTCTCATGGGATGGGGTGGCGAAAGTATATCTACGATGGAGCTATCGCCTTTGCTTCGCGAAGAGATCCGCAAATCTTGCAAGGAAATCAGATCTTTGGGAATTATCCACGAAGATTTTCGGCATGACAATGTCCTTTGGAATGAGGAACTAGGACGGGCCTTGATCATCGACTTTCACCGTATTTCTTTGAGAAATCGGCCAAATCGGCATCGACTCCAAAACTCCAAGCGACGACACTGTGGAACGGAGGCGAAACCTACGAAACGTCTTCGTGTCCCCTGAAACGTGACGATTCGCGTCTTTTCTTCTATTTGTTTCATTCCAATATCTTTGTACTCGCTACTCGCTTCTAAATGCCGTTCCCCGCCTCCTTCGACCTAATGTCGATATTTTCAATGACTTGTTGTTCTCCGTGACAGATTGCTTCTCTCATATGCTATATGTTCTTATCAAAGTCGGGCTTTCTTTCGAGCCACAACTGTTTACGTAGAAAATGGCATGTACCCAATGTGTGCTTATTCCCGCCTGCGTATTCAGAACATAACCCTTGAGCCAGCCTCAGGCAACACACGGCATGTCCATCGCGTTAGCAGCTCGATCAGTAGCTCGATTAGTAGTTATAGTGGAAGGTCAATCGAACTGACCCCTGAAAGAACATGCGTTTACTTCCAAAAGAATTCATTATACATCCACAATAAATCCACACCGGGCCGCCCCGCTGCCAGCAGTGCTCTTTACGGGGCTCATTTTGGTGGGCTGTGCCTACTAATGAAGTACTCTGTCCAAAATTGGACGTTCGCTCCAAACAAAGGAAGAGATATAAAAGATTTAGGGGCCCTGGCTTCAGCTGAGGGAGACCGATTAACTCACACAAGGTGGAAGGCTCAGCTAATCAGGAAGACGCCCAATGACTGGGCTTCGTCGGATTAGTGGGAGTGGGGGCGGGATTTCACCAAGTTTATCGGGTTTGACATTTATACTCCTGAATTATGATCACCCCTCGTCCTGTATGTCATTCGATCTCGCCTTTTTATGACCTGTCTCGACCTGATCCCATTCCCCCTCATTGCAGGAAGCCAAATGGCCGGCATCATGTCCCAGAGTTTGAACTCGTTCCAGCAACTGGAAAAGGTTCGCACCTTCCTAGATTCCCTGTGTGAATCTTTTGTCATCATATAGGGGGCGTGAGAATTCAGAAAATACCCCAAGAATGGTCCATAAAGGGTCAAGTTGACCCCGCCAACCGTGGCCCCAGCTGGGTGAAGGCACCTATGCAATGGGTGGGTATCCCCCATCAGTTTGATACCCCCGGGAAAAGCTTCAATCGTACTGCGAGAATATCTATTCATAAGAAGATTAGGTCCATAAAGGTCGAAACAACCAGATTAATGAGTTGGTTGCCTTGAAGGAGATTCACCTCCACACCGAAGAAGGGACGCCATCCACTGCGATCCGGGAAATCTCCTTGATCAAGGAGCTCAATCACGAGAACATTCTGGCCTTGTGCGATGTGATCTCCACCGTGGAAAAGCTCATCATGGTGTCGGAGTACAGGGACAAAAATCTCAAGCGCTTAATGGACGACCGGGGTGATGCCCTTGATCTCCCTACCAACAAGCACTTTGAATACCACATAACCTACTGTCATGAGAATAAGATCTTGCATCGGGATCCAAAACCTCAAAATCTGCTGAATAGCCGGGGCGGAGGTCTGAAGCTGGCAGATTTTAGCCTTGCCCGCGCCTTTAGCATTCCCGTCGACATTTTCTCGAACGAGGTGCTTACTCTCTGGTCTTGACCTTCAGTTGTGCTCTTGGGGAGCCGCTCTTACAATACCAGCCTCGATATCTGGTCAGCGGGCTGCATCATTGCCGAGACGTACACCGGCCACTTTTTGTTTCCGGGTGCCACCCATGATCAACTGCTCAAGATCTTTCAAGTGAGAGGCACCCCATCCGAGGAAAATTGGCCGGGAATCAATCAGCTACCAGATTTTGAGCCTGGTTTTCCTGTCTACCCAACCCAAGACCTGCGATATCTGATATCCGGGCTGGAGCCTCTCGGGGCGGGTCTGCTAGAGCACAAGCTGCAATTGCGACCAGAGCTGTGGATCAGCGCCACCGATGCGCTACACCATTCATGGTTCCAGAGTCTTCGTTTTGACAGTCATGGCGCTACTGTATCAGAGCCACCATCAAGCGAACCAGAGGGAAAATGACAGGAAGAAATCAAGCTTCCCTGGAGTGTATTTCCGATCGATCCAGGGAATACTCAGATAGTGAAATGTAAGA